AGGGTTTGTTAGGGCTTAGGGTTGGGTTGAATTTAGGTGTGGTTCTAGTTTTGGTTTAGGATGTTAGTTTAGGGTTTAGGGTTGGTTTAAGAATCAGGTTTAGGGCCATGTATAGGTTGGTATAGTATTGTTTAGAGGTTTTTTTAGGGTATGGTTTTAGGGTATTTAGGGTTTTTTTAGGGGTTGGGTTGGTGTTTCGGTTTATTGGGTTGGTTTAGGTTGGTTTAGGTTGGTTTAGGGTTGTTTAAGGGTTGGTATAGGTTGGTTTAGGGGTTGGTTTAGGGATGGTTTAGGGTTTGGTTTAGGTTGGTTTAGGTCCCGGTTAGGTCGTATTAAGGTTCCGGATTTAGGGTCGGTTTAGGGTTGGTTTAGGGTTGGTTTAGGGTTGGTTTAGGGTTGGTTTAGGGTTGGTTTAGAGGTCTGTGGTTGCAGGAAAGGCTGGGGCGGTTCATGAAAGAGTGATTGGTGGTTTCAGGAAAGACTGGACGGTTTCAGGAAAGGCTGTGTGTTTTGAGGAGGTGCTGGGTGGTTTCACAAAAGGCTGAGTGAGGCTGTGTGGTTTCACGGAAGTGTGTATGAATTTAGGAAAGGAGGTGCCGGGTGGTTTCAGGAAACACTAGGTGGTTTCGGGAGAGGCTGTGTGGCTTCAGGCTGGGTGGTTGTTTCAAGAAGTGGTTTCAGGAGAGGTTTGTTGGTGTCAGGAAAGTCTGGGGTGTTTCCAGGAAAAGCTGCGTGGTTTCAGGAAAGGCTGCGTGGTTTCAGGAAAGGCTGCGTGGTTTCAGGAGGTGTCGTGTGGTTTCTGGCGAGGCTGTGGGGTCACACGAAAGTGTGTGTCGCATATGATGTTGGAAGTCTGATGGTTCAGGGTTGATTTAGGTGTGGTCTTAGGTTTGGTTTAGGTTTGGCTTTAGGATGTTTAGGTGTGGTTTTAGGTTTGGTTTAGGTTTGGTTTAGGGTTGGTTTTAGGTTTGGTTTAGGTGGTTTTAGAGGTTGTTTTAGGGTCGGTTTAGGGTTGGTTTAGGGTTGGTTTAGGGCTGGTTTAGGGTCGGTTTAGGGTCCGTTTAGGGTGGTTTTAAAGTGGTTGTAGCGTTGTTTGAGGGTTGGTTTGGGCTGGTTTAGGATTGGTTTAGGGTCGGTTTAGGGTCGATTTAGGGTTGGTTTAGGGTCGGTTTAGGGTCGGTTTAGGGTCGGTTTAGGGTTGGTTTAGGGTTGGTTTAGGGTTGGTTTTGGGTTGGTTTAGGGTCGGTTTAGGGTCGGTTTAGGGTCGGTTTAGGGTTGGTTTAGTGGTTTAGGGTCGGTTTGGGGTCGGTTTAGGGTTGGTTTAGGGTCGGTTTAGGGTCGGTTTCGGGTTGGTTTAGGGTTGGTTTCGGGTTGGTGTAGGGTCGGTTTAGGGTTGGTTTAGAGGTCTGCAGGAAAGGCTGGGGAGGTTCATGAAAGAGTGATTGGTGGTTTCAGGAAAGACTGGACGGTTTCAGGAAAGGCTGTGTGGTTTCAGGAGGTGCCGGGTGGTTTCAGGAAAGGCTGAGTGAGGCTGTGTGGTTTCACGGAAGTGTGTATGAATTTAGGAAAGGAGGTGCCGGGTGGCTTCAGGAAAGACTAGGTGGTTTCAGGACAGGCTGTGTGGCTTCAGGCTGGGTGGTTGTTTCAGGAAGTGGTTTCAGGAGAGGTTTGTTGGTGTCAGGAAAGTCTGGGGTGGTTCCAGGAAAAGCTGCGTGGTTTCAGGAAAGGCTGCGTGGTTTCAGGAGGTGTCGCGTGGTTTCCGGCGAGGCTGTGGGGTTTCACGAAAGTGTGTGTCGCATATGATGTTGGAAGTCTGATGGTTAAGGGTTGGTTTAGGTGTGGTTTTAGGTTTGGTTTAGGTTTGGTTTTAGGATGTTTTAGGTTTGGCTTAGGTTGTTTCAGAGGTTGTTGGTTTAGGGTTGGTTTAGGGTTTGTTTACGTTCGGTTTAGGGTGGTTTTAGGGTTGTTTGAGGGTTGGTTTGGGTTGGTTTTGGATTGGTTTTGGATTGGTTTAGGGTCGGTTTAGGGTCGGTTTAGGGTCGGTTTAGGGTTGGTTTAGGGTTGGTTTAGGGTCGGTTTAGGGTCGGTTTAGGGTTGGTTTAGGGTCGGTTTAGGGTCGGTTTAGGTTTAGCGTCGGTTTAGGTTGGTTATGGGTCGGTTCAGGTTGGTTTTAGGGTTGGTTTAGGGTTGGTTTAGGGTTGGTTTAGGGTTGGTTTAGGGTTGGTTTAGGGTTGGTTTAGGGTTGGTTTAGGGTTGGTTTAGGGTCGGTTTGGGGTTGGTTTAGGGTTGGCTTGGGGTCGGTTTAGGGTTGGTTTAGGGTTGGTTTAGAGGTCTGTGGTTGCAGGAAAGGCCGGGGCGGTTCATGAAAGAGTGATTGGTGGTTTCAGGAAAGACTGGACGGTTTCAGGAAAGGCTGTGTGGTTTCAGGAGGTGCTAGGTGGTGTCAGAAAAGGCTGAGTGAGGCTGTGTGGGTTCACGGAAGTGTGTATGAATTTAGGAAAGCAGGTGCCGGGTGGTTTCAGGAAAGACTAGGTGGTTTCGGGAGAGGCTGTGTGGCTTCAGGCTGGGTGGTTGTTTCAAGTGGTTTCAGGAGAGGTTTGTTGGTGTCAGGAAAGTCTGAAAGTCTGGGGTGTTTCCAGGAAAAGCTGCGTGGTTTCAGGAAAGGCTGCGTGGTTTCAGGAAAGGCTGCGTGGTTTCAAGGAGGTGTCGTGTGGTTTCCGGCGAGGCTGTGGGGTTTCACGAAAGTGTGTGTCGCATATGATGTTGGAAGTCTGATGGTTCAGGGTTGATTTTATAGGTGTGGTTTTATTTGGTTTTAGGTTTGTTTTAGGATGTTTTAGGAGCGCCGCCGGTTCTTTGGGCTTCTCGTTTAGGTTGGTTAGGTTGGTATTTAGGTTTGGTTTAAGGTGTTTTAGAGTGGTTTAGTTTTAGGTCGGTTTAGGGTTGGTTTAGGGTTGTTTAGGGTTGGTTTAGATCAGTTTAGGGCCAGTTTAGGGTTGGTTAGGATTGGTTTAGAGGTTGTTTTAGGGTTGGTTTAGGGTTGGTTTAGGGTTGGTTTAGGGTCGGTTTAGGGTTGGTTTAGGGTTGGTTTAGGGTTGGTTTAGGGTTGTTTTAGGGTTGGTTTAGGGTTGGGTTAGGGTTGGTTTAGGGTTGGTTTAGGGTTGGTTTAGGGTTGGTTTAGGGTCGGTTTAGGGTCGGTTTAGGGTCGGTTTAGGGTCGGTTTAGGGTCGGTTTAGGGTCGGTTTAGGGTCGGTTTAGGGTTGGTTTAGGGTCGGTTTAGGGTTGGTTTAGGGTTGGTTTAGGGTTTTAGAGGTCTGTGGTTGCAGGAAAGGCTGGGGCGGTTCATGAAAGAGTGATTGGTGGTTTCAGGAAAGACTGGACGGTTTCAGGAAAGGCTGTGTGGTTTCAGGAGGTGCTGGGTGGTTTCAGAAAAGGCTGAGTGAGGCTGTGTGGTTTCACGGAAGTGTGTATGAATTTAGGAAAGGAGGTGCCGGGTGGTTTCAGGAAAGACTAGGTGGTTTCGGGAGAGGCTGTGTGGCTTCAGGCTGGGTGGTTGTTTCAAGAAGTGGTTTCAGGAGAGGTTTGTTGGTGTCAGGAAAGTCTGGGGTGTTTCCAGGAAAAGCTGCGTGGTTTCAGGAAAGGCTGCGTGGTTTCAGGAAAGGCTGCGTGGTTTCAGGAGGTGTCGTGTGGTTTCCGGCGAGGCTGTGGGGTCACACGAAAGTGTGTGTCGCATATGATGTTGGAAGTCTGATGGTTCAGGGTTGATTTAGGTGAGGTTTAGGGTTTGTTTAAGGCTCCCTTAGGGTTGATTTAGGTGTGGTTTTAGGTTTGGTTTAGGTTTGGTTTTAGGATGTTTTAGGTTTGGTTTAGGTTTAGTTTTGGGTTGGTTTTAGGTTTGGTTTTGGTCAGGTTTAGGGCCAGCTTCGGGGGTTCATTCGGGGTTCATTTGGGGTTAGGTTTGGGTCGGGGGGCGGCAGCCCCCCCCATGATGTTGGGAAGGGGATGTTGGGAAGGGTGATGATTCAAACAAAGGTACGCTTAATCTAAAAACACAGCGGGGGGTCGGGGGGGCGGCGGCCCCCCCCATGATGTTGGGAAGTACGGGAAGCCCAATCAGGAAAGGCCGGGTGGTTTCAGGAGGTGCCGGGTGGTTTTAGGAAGACTGGGTTGTTTTAGGAAAGGCTGCGTGGTTTCAGGCAACGTTGGGGGGGGGGGGGTTCATGAAAGATTGGTTGGTGGTTTCAGGAGAGGCTTTGAGGTTTCAGGAGGTGCCGGGTGGTTTCAGGAAGACTGTGTGGTTTCCGGCGAGGCTGTTTGGTTTCAGGATAGGCGGGGTTTCAGGCTGTGTGGTTGCAGGCTGGGTGGCGGTTTCAGGAAAGGCTGGGTGGTTTTAGGAAGGGTTGTGTGGTATCAGGAAAGGCTGGGGTGTTTCATGAAAAACTGGCCGGTGGTTTCAGGAAAGGTTTGGCGGTGTCAGGAAATGGTTGCGGGAAAGACTGGGTGGTATCACGAATTCGGCAACAACCCTTTCAGAGGTAGCCTTTCACGAAATTTATAGCTAAGAAGCAAAATTAGTTTCCTGAAGCCAGCATGCTTCTGGAAAACAACTATTAAGCTTCCTGAACACATGTTTCCGGAAACTTGCGGGTATTCATTTCGACCTTCTCGGGGTTGCTGACCCGTCGTCGGCTCGGGGTACCCGACCCGACCGGCACCCAGGTCACAATACTTATCACCCAGAACAAGCTCCATGTTTTTTTTTTTTGGGGGGGGGGAGAAGAGCACAAAACTCTAGGGGTTGATTCCCCATTCTATTCAACCATCGTTCTTCCCAAGACCGGCCATTCCCCCTGGGTTTCCAGAGGTTTTCTAGATTCGGATCTCTGGAAAGAATGGACTTGGAAGCTACCTCTAGACTAACCTTTTTCTGATCCGCACTCTGCAACCCACCTTACCTGACCCACCTTATCTGACCCACCTTATCTGACCCACCTGCCGAG